TATCCATGTTAGTTAACATATTCAATAACAATTTATATATATAGGAATTACGTATGAATAAATTATATTAAAATATAAAATTAATTATAATAAATTATATTAATTATATAAAATTAATTATAATAAATTATATTAAAATATAAAATGAATTATAATAAATTAAATAAATATAAAATTATAATAAATTAAATTAAGTTAAATGAAAATAAAATAAATGAATATAATTAAAATATAGAATTTTGTTAATTCATATTTTGTGTTAGAGTAAACCATATTAATAATATTTAATAAATAATATTTTCATTATTTATTATTTAATAATCAGTTATTTTGTTTATTATTTTATTTTATTTTATTTGAATTCACCTTTTTTATACTTTATCATCTTATGTTATATTATTTTTATTATATTTTAATAAATATAAATTATTATGACATAATAAATAAAAATAAATAAAAAATCTTAAATAAGTATAATAAATTAAAAATATAATTTAAGTAAATAAAATGTTAAATAATCGTAATGAATAATAAAACAAAAAGTGTTATTTTATATAAAATAATAAAATATTAAAAAACTTAAATGAAATAATAATTTATTATATAATAATAAGTTATTATATTTATTATAAATTTATTTTAAATAAATAAATAAAAATATTGAATGAATATAATATTATTAATATGATTCACTCTAACACAAAATATGAATTCGAAAAAATATATTTTAATTATCTTAATATATTATTTTTAATTCAATTTTATATAATTTTATTTAATATAATTAAATTATTTTTTTAGATTTAATTTGATTTCTCCATACGTAATGTAATGTGTATATATATAAAGGGTTATCACATTTAACAACTAAGTTGAACTGGTGTGGTGGTAGCTAAGGCTACCCTTCAACCCCTTCAACCCAGGATCGAATCTCAGAGCGTGCAAAAATGCCACGTCATTGACACGTGGAAACACCACGTCATCACAAAAATGCCATATCAGCAGAACGGGCCTCCACGTCACCAGAACAGGCCCAAAATTGGGCCCTGTGATTCGAATTGCAAAAAATAACTAAAGTGGTGTATTAAATTGCTAAATTGAAAAGGTGGTGATTAAATTGCAAAAACATGAAAGGTGGTGCTTTTATATGCAATTTAGCCTTAAATGAATTATACACCAAATATGCCATAAGGATTAGAGATAAATAGTGTAGAATTTATACTATGTACATAAAGTTTATAATCGAAGGTAATAATTTTATCATTTTACATATCACAACATCTTAATAATTAATCACTAATGTCATATAAGTTATAAGGAAACAAAAAATTATCTGAAATTTTTATTTATGAATAATACCCAGTACCAAACTCGTGCTTACTATGCCTAATAAATTTAGAATCTTCCGCGGGACTAGAAATAGTTTATTAGAAAGTCTCTTAGCTAGTAATCACAAATTAATTTATAAATATATAGTTTGTAAACTATTTTATTTGAGTAAGTCTCATTTGTAAAATGAGCTTTTTAATAAGATTCATTATATTTCTAATAAATACAACAACTATTTCAATTTTCTACAATTAAACCTCGTTTGATATGATTTTTTTTTTCCTCAAAATACCAATCATATCTCATATTGTTATTGAGTTGGTGGAAGAATCGACTTTACACACATTTGCAGAGCAACCATTAATAGTTTTTCGTTGTTAGATTATAGCACACATACACGCAGAGTTACGTTGATACAACAGTGAAAAACTCGATAACTGCACTACATTTATAATGATAGATGATAGCGTATTTAAAAAAGAAATCCAACGGGATTTTTATTTCAATTAATTTCACAAAACATTTCTACTGCATCATTTAATTTTTCAATCATAATGCATCTACCAAATAGATTTGAAACTAACATATCAACTAGCTTTTTCAATGTTTGAAAGATTTGCCACATCTAATCATGGGCCCAAGCCATGTACTACCAGCTAGTCTTTGTGTCCAAATATAAACTTGCAATGCATTCTTTTGTTATAAATGTACTAAATGAGTGCCACACATAGCTGGATGGATAAGCACTATTGTTTGGATGTCATTATCTGCTAACAATTGGAAGATGTATATGTAAAAGGCCTTATATATATATAAGGAAATGCTACGGTCCTCCGTTGAGATTTGTAACCGTTAAATCATAATACAACCGTCGTGAATAATTGATCTAACGGTTACAAACTCTGACGGAATGATTCCATAAAAATCTCCATATATATAGAGAGAGAGAAACAAGTCAATTGTTGTCATTCCAATTTTACTCAGCCCAAAATTAGAACAATAAATCAATGATGCAACTGTTGAATGAGTTTGCAAAAAGAGGGAAAGCCCAAAGTGAAAAATCTTTCATGTTTCCACTAGGGTTAAAACCAAAGGTAAAAAAAATAAATTGGTCAAGCTCTCACATATATATATATATATATATATATGTATGGCTGTAAAACATTGTTCTTATGGTAGTAAAATTGGAAATTTACTGTTGTTTTTTATTGTTTAATTGGTACATACTGATGTGCGCTTGTGATTCAAGAGATCAAAAAAAAAAAAAAAAAAGTAAGTTTATTGTGAGATTATCTAAAGTTTATTAAATCAATAATCTCTTAATTTACTTCTGATATGGTATATATGATGAGCTCGGCCTTCCTATTCAGAGTCAAATCTGTTTGAGAGGTTGAGCCTAGAGTTTGGGCAAGAGATGGACATTTTCGTGTGGATGATACAATTTTTCGTATGTGTCTGTGTGTCTGTGTGTCTGTGTATTTTTTATTTTTTATTTTTTTTTTAATATTCCACATCACATAGAAACTAGAGGACTAATTTAATCGCCACGTGTTAAACGAAATAAGTCGCTCGTGAGATCGACTTGTTAATGCTCGAGTTCTGGCTCGTCTCGTTTGATAAACGATCTGTGCTCGAGCTCGTTTCGTTAACAAGTCGTGTTCGGCTTGACTCGGAAAGAAAGTTTCTATATTATTTTCTATAAATCGACTCCTTAAAACTTGAGATCGACTCGTTAAGAATCAGACCCCGCTAATTTATCAATATAGACAAACGAGTTGAGGTTTAACTCAATTTATGACTAGACAAATGGAAAATTTTAGAGGAGAAGTTTAGGAGGAGTTTGCTAGATGAACCTAGTTTATTTGATAAGCTCTTATTATTTCCTTTATTTAATTATTTATATATGTTTTCGATATATATATATATATTTGGTCAAGGTAAAACATGTTTTCCGTGAGGTGAATTTTTGCAGCCGATCATTTAGTTTCCTTCGCAGTGAATGGGTCTTTGGGGTATCACTTCTTTAACGTTCCACCAGATAGTGTGCGTCCGTGGCTAGAACACGATCTCATTGGTGTTACCTATTCACGGTACATGTGTAATTTGATCTCTTAAGTCTTAAGACTTTAGCCTCTTTTACTGTACCAAAAAAAAAAAAGAAATTGAGTTTAATTAATTTCAACGGAGGAAGAATATGACGTGTGCAAAAGCCCATGTGTACAGTAAGGAAATGTGCGTGTGATGTATGGAGTGTGGACGTGTTGGGAGGCATTTGTCATGGCCGCACCAGACAAAGACAGCTGGCATTTGTACAACCTAGGCATCTCTATTAGCAATTGTGTTTAAATCAAATGCTATTAGCCTTTTCTAATGCTAGATAAAAAGATGTATGTATATAATACAAGAAATTATAACACTCACAAATTATAGTTCAAATCATGATCATGTTATTTGAGTTAGATGCATTTGGATAAACTCCCTGCAATAAATTTATGACCAATTCAATTTTTTTATTTTTTTTTAAATGTAAAAAAGTATCATGATATATGGAGATATAAACGAGTGGGTCTGAACTCAAACTTCTAATACTTGAACTTGAGCTTCTGATACTCGAGTCGAGTATGGGCTTTTGATACTCGAGCTCGAGTTTATTATCGACCTGAGTGTTAAGTAAATGAGTCTATAAATAATTTTGTTTATGAATATTAACTATTCGAGCTCAACTAAGTTCGTAAGGACTTTTAAGAGCAAAACTCATGTTTGTCAAACGAGCCAATAAACAATTTTGACTTATTTATCAATAAGAACGAGTCAAACTCACATTTAAACGAATCATACTTAATGTCACCTTTTAATTAAACAAGTTATAAAATAAGAGAGAGAAGGTATGAAAATTTTATCAAAGGAGTCGAGGAAAAATCGAATTTTAATAAGTTGAGCAAACTTACTAGTTTAGTACTAGTAAGTTTTATAATAATAATAATAATAATAATAATAATAATAATGATAATGATAACAGAAACAGATTATAAGGGGACATGAAAATCTTAAAAAAGAAACTTGATATGGGTTTGGCCCTCAATTTCCATGGTGGAAAAACTCAAACAAAGAAAGCCTGGTGCGAATAAAGGAAAAAAACCCTCCCAAAAAGACACACTGCATCCTTCTCTCTCTACCTTCTTCTGCTCATATCCTTCTCCAAATAAGAGAGAGAAAGTGAGCGTGTTGTTGTGTCACTGTGTGTACGCGCAACCGAGTTACTGCAGCGCGCACGTCGGCGCGTGTTGAACAATCGCCCCTTTTCTATTACCCTTTATCCCCTCTGCATTTCCATTTGCGTTGATGGATTGAATTTCAATTTTTCCCCCAATTTTCTTTTTCTTTTTATTTTCTCTCTGATGGAAAATCGCTTTATTCTCACGGCACACCATTAGAGAGAAAGAAGAGAAAAAGAAGAAAAAAAAAATCACCCAAAAAGCAAAGCACAAATTTGCCCCAATTTGGGCGTTGCAATTCAATTCCCTCCCTTTTCAATTTTCTCCCAAATTTCTGTTGTGGCGGACCTCCGAGGAACCCTAGCGTTCCTCCTCTCGCCGGCGTGCTCCTCCGATTCTCCCCATTTGAAATCGAAGAGGAGAAAGCACGGATTTCTCCACAGAGGAACGACGAAAATGCTGTGGGTGATGAGATTATCCGGGTTCATATCCGCCGCGATGGTGATGGTCGTGCTTTCCCCTTCCCTCCAATCCTTCCACCCGGCGGAGGCTATCAGATCCTCTCACCTCGATCCGTACCTGAGGCTCCCGGCCGCCGCGCATTCCCTCGACAAATTCTCCTTCCGGCGGGCTCCGGCTTTCCGCAATGCTCCCGAATGCCGGCCGTCGAAATCGGAAGAATCCGGCATCTGCGACCCCTCTCTGGTCCACGTCGCGATTACTCTCGACGTCGAGTACCTGCGCGGCTCTATCGCCGCCGTTCATTCGATTCTCCAGCATTCGAAATGCCCGGAGAGCGTCTTCTTCCATTTCCTGGTCTCCGAGACGGGCCTCGAAACCCTAGTCCGATCCTCCTTCCCCCAATTGAAGTTCAAAGTGTATTTTTTCGACCCGGAGCGCGTCCGGAGCCTGATTTCGAGCTCCGTGAGGCAGGCGCTCGAGCAGCCGTTGAACTACGCCCGGAATTACCTCGCTGACCTTCTAGAAGCCTGCGTGACCCGGGTGATTTACTTGGATTCAGATCTGGTCGTAGTCGACGACATTTCGAAGCTGTGGAGGACGAGCTTGGGGAAGAAAACAATTGGCGCGCCCGAGTACTGCCACGCGAATTTCACGAAGTATTTCACGGAGCATTTCTGGTCGGACTCAAGATTCTCCGGCGTATTCTCCGGCCGGCGGCCGTGCTACTTCAACACGGGGGTGATGGTGATAGATCTGGGGAAATGGAGGCGGTTCGGGTACACGCGCCGCATAGAGGCGTGGATGGAGACGCAGAAGACGAGCTCGAGCCGAATCTATGAGCTCGGCTCGCTGCCGCCGTTCCTACTGGTGTTCGCTGGACGGGTGGCGCCGATCGAGCACAGGTGGAACCAGCACGGGCTGGGCGGGGACAACGTGAGGGGGAGCTGCAGAGACCTCCACGCGGGTCCAGTGAGTCTGCTGCACTGGAGCGGCAGCGGCAAGCCGTGGCTCCGGCTCGACTCGAAGCAACCGTGCCCGCTAGACTCACTGTGGGCGCCGTTCGATCTGTATGGATACTCGGCGTGATTTGGATGCCGTTTTTTTTGTTGTTCCCTGTCTGTAACAGCTCTGTCGTTCGCCGGTAAATTCCTCCAGTGACTTTATTTATTTTATTTTATTTTGGTCATAATTTTATTTCTTTTATATAATATATCCCATTTTTTTTACCCTCTTTTAATTTTTTATTTTTTATTTCTTTCTGTTTAGTTGTTGTTACTTGTTAGTCATGCCTTCATTCTGAGAACTCTGTTTTTATTTTGATGTTGATGAGCTCACTTACTGATATGGGGGTCATGTACTCTATTCTATTATTTCCTCCCCTGAAAATAAAAAGATGAAGAATGATTATTATATTTTGAGAATGTGTTTAGGGATGCAAACGAGTCTAGCTCGAGCCCTTTAAGTGAACGTGCCAATAACTGAATTCCAACTCGACTTGTTTATTAGTACTACTGCGCTGACTTCGAGTCTGCATGAACCGAACTATAGAAGATTATATAAAAATCTCTTTTTTCGAGATGAGTCTAGTTCGACTTGTTAACTAAATGAGTTTTAAACGAACCGAGGAGCAACTTTGTGTTTCGCTGTTTGTTTTGGTAAAATTTTAGGTTAACTTTTTATGCAATGTGAATGTAAAAATGGGGTTAAAATTAGTTTGTTCGGTTTGAGAAATGGGCGAAAGGTTTTTGAGGTGGGGACGGTATAAAATGAGGAAAATGCCTTTGGAATAATATTGATGATACTCCACAACTCGACTAACGGATTCCCTTAGCATAAGACGACCCGATGGTGTCGGCCTACTTGCCTCTACTTTACTATTTTCAATCTCTATACTCTTTGGTATGAAGATTGCAATTAGATAATAAGGCTAGACAATTTTATACTCTTTAATGTAAAAGTAATTTGATATTACCTAATATAAACATGCATTTTTGTGAAATAAATATGACGCGGACTAATGATTAGGTCGTTGTACAAGTTTCTCTTATCTTTCTTAACTTAGAATCGACAAAATGTATGAC